CCTCTGCCACCCCTGTGAAGTTGTCTTGCAGTCCTATGTGGAATAAATATAGTAATGCAAAATACAAAATCCAGGAAGATAACATGTCACTGTATAAAGTATAGGCCTACTTACTGTATATTGTAAAATGCAAGTGGAATACTGTAATATTGTATGAAGCATTACAGAACAGTGCCTATTGTTAGATTACATACCTGTTCTGTCGACAAAAAATCTGAATGATTGAGGACACAGTTGTTCTCCCAACATTTGGCTGCACCCTTCGACCAGGCTCAGCCATTGTAAGCCCATGACTGACAACGTGGTCTACAAGTGTGGCTCCTATCTCATCAGGTACACGCATATGTCCTCAGCCTCTTCTGCCTCTTCCTCTGTTTTACCTCCCAACTCCTCTGCCATGCAGCCTCACTCCTCTTCCTCTTCTTCTTCTCTCTGGCTGTTGACCCCGTCCAATTCCTTGTCCTTCCATTGTGTTGTGCTCCAGCTATACGTATGTATACTTGCCAGGTGATGGTTCATGAGATGCACCTTCGTTAGGGAAAGTCAAGATTCACCTGGGAGCAATTTACCAATTCAAGACAGATTTAGAAAAAAGTCTAATGGAAATGCACAGAAATACGCTTGCCATATTCTGACAACTTGTTCAACCATTTTGCATTTAACGACTTATATGATGAACTAATGACTAGATGTTTTGAGGGGTAAGACTATTGCACAGTGAACTATATAATACATTTTGATCAACATGACATAAACAACTGATAATGTAGGAAACAGCAGAGAATTGTACATAATCATTTGCATGGATGTACCAAAGCATTTGCAACTTCTTCAGACAAATGAGAAACTGCTTTTTTGATGTGCACAAGTGACACAATGATGTGAAGACTGAACAGGTAGTTTTGAGAATTTCAATTCTGATCTGAGAAATGTACCAAAGTGACTGAGAAAAAGTGTAAACAGCTATTGAGGAAAAAACAGACCATATCAATTCACTAGCCCATATTGCATGACATTTTTCTAAAAACTGAAGGATGTGCAAGTACAGGGACAATCTTGGCATGAAAAGAATACTGGTTTGACATGGAGAAGCTATAGAAAAAACATATTGGTGTAATATCCTCTGACAGTGTCATTCAAAACATTTAATTTGGTTTCTCTTCTTTGCAGCTACAGCACAGAATGAGAACTACAGTGCCAGGTGTCACGCTCATGTCTTTTCAGAGATACAAACCTGTATGTCTACTATGTAAATGTTATTTGTTTGGTTGCTGGTCAAAGTTAAAATGAGAAAATATTTGCCTTCTATGTTGTTTGTTGTTTTGTTTTCTGAAACTTTATTGTATTTTCAGTATTGTAATTTCAAATAAAGATTTCTGGTTTGTTGATTTGTCTTTTGAAATTCACAACTATGTTCACTTCTGGGAAATGTTTTTGTTCAATAAAGCGTGATTGACTGTCACCATGAGGGCAGTGACCAAGCTGATAGGTGTGGCCAAGATATTAAAACCAGGTATTATTCAAACCCTGGGTGTCTTTCATACAGGGCTCGTCTGATCAGCTGTTTTAAACAAAGATATATTAATTGTGTGACTACTGTGAATCGTTACTATTGTCAGGCCAAAAAAGAAAATCTGTTAGAGCCGACTGTCATGTCTGAAACACCAGAGGAGACAGAGACAATGGAATTGCCAGCAGAAAATGAGCAATGGGGACTGGATAAAATATGTGAGCTAATTCAAAAAGGACTTAAAGAAGGACTTACAATAGAAAAATTGCAAGCTTTATTAAAAGGTTGGTTTTCTGGATTTGTAGATTAAATTGATTGTTAGTTTATTATTATTTAGTTTCCTAGATAAGCAAGCCAGCTGAGAGTTGCTGTAACTCAAATCTTTTCAATACTTACTGCTTGTGAGACATAATAGCTAATATCAAGGCTGCTTGTAAAAATAAATTTCATGTATTACAGGACTGCTTAACTTAACGGTTTCCTTTTTTATTCAGAAAAAGGAATCAGTGGTGCCATGCTAAAAAATCTCTCGGTTGATGATCTGGAGGAGATAGGAATAGAGTAAGTGGATCCCCATATTAAAATAAGTTGAATTCTCATTGAATCAATTCAAAATTAAAATTTCTGCACTGATCTTCTGCTTTTCTTGTTTTTGTCTAGGAAACGTGGTGAACGTCTGAAAATCATAAATATCATCAATTTGCTCTTGGAGATCAAAGACAAAAGCAAGGTAATTTAACATGAACCTAATTACATCACACTACATTTTCAGGGCTAGAGACATAAGCAACATGATGCACAGAGACATAGAGCTTGTAGAATAAACAATAAGAGTGAGAAACTGAATCTACCCGCATCTACAAAATTAAGATGGTACATGTTTATTCTTTATTGTTGAGTCCATTGCCAGTCTGCAGCAAAAAAGATGTATGAGATGGAGAAAATTTAAATGAGGAACAATGCAGTATAAAATGACAAGATGAGTTTGCTGAGCCCTCAGGAGAACTGAAACTAGTTTCACTAATACTTTTGGATAATAATTAGACAGGCTGTGTATTTATTCTCTTCTGTCAGGTGTTTAATGATCCTATCCATGGTCACATTGAGCTACACCCACTTCTCGTCAAAATCATTGACACACCTCAGTTCCAGAGACTACGATACATCAAGCAGCTTGGAGGAGCATACTTTGTTTACCCTGGAGCATCCCACAACCGCTTTGAACACTCAATTGGGTATGTCTGCATGTTTTCAGACAGACATAGGAAAAAAAGGAAGGCCAGTTTGCAGTAAAGTATACCAGAAGACAAACCCAAATGTTTCACAAAATACACTGACAGAGAAAAGCGCAGAGAATAAAAGCATAAAAAACAAGACTCAGAGGCCTTTAATGTGAAATAAACCCAAAGTAAACCCATTACATATCTTAATATTGGTATATAACAGTTCATAAATTTAGTTTTGTGGAATGTTTCTCTCTCTCTCTCTCTCTCTCTCTCTCAGGGTGGCGTACTTAGCAGGAGAGCTTGCAAAAGCTCTGAAAACAAAGGGGAAAACAAAGGAGACAACAAAGGAGACAGAACCTGAAATCACCGATGAAGACATCCTTTGTGTGCAGATTGCAGGTCTTTGCCATGACCTCGGTGAGTGACACATACCTGTCTACTCTTACATGTAATAGGTTTTTAAATGGTACAGTAAAGAGTGAAAATAAAAGTGCAACAATCCATAAACTGTCAGGTAAATAAATGCTTGTGATGTTCTAATGGAGAAGGGTGTAGCAGACATGCATAATACACTTTATCTCCACTTACAACTGCTTTTGTCAGCACCAAACTGTCATAAAATGCAAAAACAGACATTGTATATCCCCATAATAGTAACAAAGGTTTGTCTTAATGAAACATTAGCATTTGAAGAAATTGTAACTTAACAGTGACAGCAGTGCAGCGTGAGGTCTGACTGATTTTACTTAGAGTAAATTAGCATAACTAATCAGGACATCTGCAAGGTATTTGTTACTGCAGCTCATCTCTGGCTGCATCCTGTAAAGACAGATGTTCAACTAAAATGGGAAAATGAACCACACGCACATACTGTATGTCATAGTCACCACCCAGAAAAGTCCTTTCTGGTAAATCATTGTTGTAAAACACTTCTAATGAAGCATATCCCATTGTATTTTGACCTGTTCTTCTTGTTCTGGCACACCAAGAAGCAACTTGCTCATTATTGCTAACTGGTGGTTGGGGGATACTCAAATCAAATGGTCCACTGATAACAAGAACTCGTTAAAGGCATTTTTATGATGTCATCAGTAATTAGTCCAAGTTCCTGCTACTTTAATAACAAAAATATCAACTCTAAAAAAAATAATGCAACCCCTACAGAAGGCATAGTGTGTGCACCATGTTAGCAGAGCAGCAGCTTTAGTACCCCATACGCACATAAAACACAAGAAAATAGATATGAAGTGTAAAAGCAGTTATAAGCATAATTGAAATGCAACTCATTGTGCAAACAGTGGAGACACTTTTACTGATTAAATAGAACTGTATTGGTTCCATCAGACAGGTGTAAGACAGACAAATGAAAAATGCAGATGAAACATTTTCATTGTACATACACTGTAATCCATTAATTTTGAAATAATGATGCACATTTTCAGGCACTGTCAGTTTCTCCTGAAATGCATTCATGATGTTGCACTAAATTTGTACA